GTCCGACTATTTAAACAATAATTGTTAATGACTTTAATTTATCTCATTTTAACCTCATTCCCACGCTGTCAACCTAAAAGTTGTAAAATTCATAAATAATTCTATTCGCTTAAATGAACTGTTGCTACCACTGCGCCGAGTCACGAAACTCCATGACCTTTCACAGCTTGCCATAACTGCGGTTGCGGACGCGACGGTAGTGTGCGTGGAGGGTTGTGCATTAGTTGGCAGTGCACTACCTCCTCCCATCGTCCATCATAAGAGAACCTTAACTGTAGTGAGATAAAATGCCTTAAGAATCAGATCACTTGATGGCACACCCCATGGCCCAATAAAAGGTAAACACTCACTTGTGTCCTGTTGACCCCATTCTGACAACCAACTGCCTCAACCAGCGCCTGGGAATCATAACAAAGTAGAGAGCAAGTGAATGGAGGAGAAAGGACGACAGTGCCACATTTGGTGAGAAGACTTCTGCAATTTATTTAACGATAAGTTGTGACATAGATCACAGACATGGTTAAAAAGAACTTGCTCTCTGACATCCAGTCCTCAACGGTGCCTGTATGGATTATTTGCACCGTTTAGCTCCTAAACAATAACTCTAACCCAGATTTTTACAGAGTTGGTCTAATTCTGCTATTCCTTTAAACATAGAGGCTTCTCATCATCCACATATACACTTTCAAAGGGCTTGTGACTGCCTGTTTTCATAAACCACTCTCGAACGGTAACCGCACTGAATGTTGCGAGCCCAATCAGTCAAACAACGATGACAAGGCTAATTTTATCGGTAAATTTTTTACATCCCGAGACGTGCAAAGTAATTACAAATATCCTTGAAAAGTTGTAGCTAAGTTAGAAAAGCAATGGTGAAGTGTGAAGGCTTTCTAGGACTGGCATGTATATCATTGTTGCAGCCCTAACCCCGCAGACTGTACCGACGCATCATTGTCCAATGAGTCCTCATCCAACCGTCTGCCTTTCCAGAAAACTTAAATTAAAGACAAAGAGAGTGGAGAGGAAGGTGCTACAGAGTTCACTTGTTTAACCCCAAAAGCTAGAGTAACTGACGTCAGGAAGAATAAGATTTTGATACTCCACTTGGAAATAAAAAAAGGCAGATACCATCTCAAATGCTTTGGAAAACAAACGTGCTTGACAGTGCACATTGTATACATTCACAGCCATAGCATGAAAAGTGGGAATGGTCCCCTCCTTTTGTGGACAGAATAACCGAAAGGTAACAGAAATGTTGGATTCCTATAAAAGAATCGAAATTAGGGGAAATAGCTTCACAAAAGGAGGGTTCTAGACAAAATTCGAAAGATTTTATCAACCGAAGGCATAATATATGCGCTAGTACGATTGTGTGGAACAGTTTTGAAAGACTCGTGGGAGGTGTGCGAGTGTATGGAACTAGACAGTTTTGCGGTTCTTTGAAACACATCCACAAAAGAGACGAATCCAAGGTGTCCACCGCTTCTTCTCGCTTTTTGATCTAGTTGGGATTTCGCGGAACCTTTGGATTTTTCTAGCTGCAGAGGGCTTCTCCTGTTTGAGTTTCTGGGTAAATGAGGATTCGGTTGAATTAGTGTAATGTTTTTGTTCCATCTCCTCTTCGTTTAACCGTTCTGTTGACCTTCCTATAGAATAGAAAAGCGGTTAAGTGAACTCCTTGGAGTGGTAACCTTCCTACAGTAAATTGTTTGCTGTTGCGAGTGGTCTTTAGATCACTCAAGTAGGCGCGAATATTGCAAGCATCAAATTTTAAGAAAAGACATTTACAAATGCAAATATGAAATTGATAAAGTTTTGTTATCTGCAGTTAGCACCTCATTTGAGAAACTCTGGTTCAACGCAATTTCTTTTTTCGCTTGTGCTTTCAGTGAATGCCACATTTATCCCATCCCCTTGTAGCAACGTAGGTCAATTTCTCGATCTTACCCACTTGTCAAAATGGGCCAAAACTGTCAAAAACGGTTCTTTAGCATAATCACAACAGCATCTGCTCTGTATTTCCCTTCGGTGAAGAGAAACGGCAATGCCGATCACGGGTCCAATTCTGAGGGGAGTGGACGAGCACACCAATGCTTATCTTTGCGCCTTCAGAAGGGAGGATTGGTACAAGGTGAAACAAAATGCGTGTTAACTCGTAGGCTCCTGGCGAGTCTTCGAGTCTGCGGCAATTGGTGTTGCCGGGCGGCAACATGTATGCCCTCTCATTAGGTATGGAATGCTACTTCATCAAAGGCTGACAGCGTGAGTTGTCATTTTCTGTATTCCTATTGGCATTTAAAGACGATTGTTTTAAAAGTGTTAGTTTGATTAAGTGATTGCAATAATTTCGACCTTTATTTTTAAAGAACATCCCAATAACTAGGGTCCCTCATCCCTTCATTGTTCCCTACAGGCATGAGAAATGGAGCAGCATGGCTATGGGACTTAATTGTACATCGCCTTTTGTATACAACCTTAAGATCTAATTCTCCTTTCTATGCAATTAGCGCTGCTGCTTAATTTATACCTTGTACTGATTGGGGCCATTTTGTCACTGGATCAAAAGATTTTTCCACAGGCGGCTTTGAGTCTTAACAAAGAGCTCTGAAGACACGCACAAAAAGAAGAGACAGAAGTAGAAAAGTAATTTAAGCAAATGCATACATCCAATTAAACCATTTGGCTCTCCCAGGTCTGCTGCATTTCTGATAACATTTACACCATAGCAAAGTCTGCCCATGGAGGGTAGAAGAGCTGGAAGAGTCGACATGATGAAGAATGCAATGGACGAAATTAGCATAACACGCTGACAGTAGCATTAACATATTATATGCATTGCAATCTTGTTGAAGGAGTGCTGTCGACAGCAGGCTCCATATCTGCGCACTTAGGCATCGGCTGACTTACGTCTTTACGGTCTACAAATAATGTTGTGCGTTGTCACTACTATATGCGCTTCTTGCACTTCTAGCTTCAAGGGAATGGCGAGTTTACAATTGCTGAAGAAAAATCACAAATCGGGCACGCGGTGCATCAAGTGATCATCACAATCACTGTCATTTAATGGACGAACTGTAGTGAGAAGCGTTTCAGTATTCATGGCTTGTCCGTCAGATTTGGAACTCTTAGAGGTGAATAGAAATTTATATAGACCGTTGACTCTGCAAAAATTTTGTCTAGCCTGCGCACTTTATCCTTGTGAAAAATCCTGGAAGGCACTCTCTATTGCCAATTTGCTCTATCTTCAAAACAAAGCCGTATCGAAGGGGAAAGAGAATGATTCGGTAAGACGGTTCCTTCAAATTCTGGAAGCACCAATGCAGTTGTTTATGTCTATTAATTAAAATGGTGTTAAGCGTGTGATTATTGCTGAACCATGTCCTTCTTAAAAAGCGAAATTCTGTCAATTGTAGCAAATAGACTCAAACCTGGTTGTTGGCAAACAGTCCCTTTATCTCGCCTTGTGAAGACCATAAGAGGAGACATCCAGTTTTTCTTTTCGTCAGCTCAAAGGCAGCCTTAGTCACCGTCACACAAAGCAAGTACTACGTTCGCAATATGGCCACAGACACGGTGGCTTAGTCACGAGTCTGCGAACAACAGTGACTAAATTAACCGTCAAATCTCTTCCACTGTGATTTTTCCAGAACGCGACAGACGCTTTGCAGCAATAAGGTGCAATTGTTGCTTGTGAATATGGGCGTGGCTCGAGATCCAAAAGGAATGCCAGTGACCAACTTTGCCGTGGTCGGTCATCCGGGCGATTGCAAAGGAATTGCCCCCATTTGCCCACTAATAAGGACAGAGGCGAAATGGGGCGATTATTCGACACCCTAAGTGAGTACCAGACCTTTGCAGGTCGACGTCCGCCCGATTTCCTTAGCATTTCACTTCACCCCTAGGCAATTTCTGCTGCCGGACCATTTAGACAAGGTAGAGGGACCAAGAAAGGCTCCACTTTTAAATAAGAGGATAAGTCATTTAAAAAATCAACTGACAACTACAATCACTTTATTAAAATTCGAAAATTGATGCTTACATGCTAAAAGGTGTGCATTACAACGCTAAGGGTGCTTGTAAAAGGGAAACAATTTGGTTGAATAAACTGTTTGCCTATTTGAAATTATTCAGTCGCCACCACCTCCCACCCCGGCCACAGGATGCTGAGATTTTTGACGGAGCCAGTGCGGATTACTTTTTGAGTTTGGTGGGCGAATATTTTTTTTCAACAACTTTTTTAAGTTAAGTGCTCAAGTCTGTGTCCGTGAGACAGGATATTTCTTCCTTGTCACTTCTGCAACAGTGCGTGAGAAGTCTCAAATATGATTTCGCCATTGGAGCAGTCCTTTGAGCGAGCTCAGTTGTGACTAACTGCCTTTTGAAACTCTGCCCCAGCCACTATTAAGCTACCAAGCCTTACCACCATTTTAAGGGACTTTTTAACCAGTTTTTGATGTTTTTCGGCGACACTACTTTTAAACAAAATTTTTCGCTTAATAGAATAAGTAAATTTCCTTCTGCCTATAAACTATCCACTGAAGTATCAACAGCAGCGGTGACGAAGGGCGTCCTCCTCTGCCACTCATTCCGCACATCATGTGAGTTCGAGTCCGAGAAAATCATGCTAAATGTAGCAAACGGCTATCGTTTGGTCAGTTAATCGCATCAATGCTTGAAAATAATCGCCCTTATAAAAGTCCGTGCATGGATGTTGGCTTTGCGAAACTTCCAACACAGTTATTTGGTCGATCTGGGTAGCTCTCCCACGCAAAACAGTACTGGCTGACATTCTCAACTGCCTTAACCCATGAATGCTTTGTCAAGTGTGGGAGAAAATTTAGCGTGCAAACATTAGCTGATATTATTCTTAGCTTCATATTTGCTCACTGAAAAAACTATAGGATCGCTTCGGTAAAAGAATTTAATAAAGATACGCACCTCCTAAACGAGTTTAACTTCCCATTCCAGGTGATGAATTTGTGCCATTATTTTAACTTTAATTACACATAGTAATTTGTAAGCTTACCGCAGTACAGGGTTATCTCATCTAGATCTGCCAATTGTGCCCTGTCGAGCCAGGAGAACTGTTGGCTTGCCGTGATGTACCATGCCTCAGAATACGATTCCTCAGTGTCGATAAAGGGTAAATCTGAGTCATCTTCGAACAGTCTGCTATGATTGCCAGCAGTAGACACTTTTCCGGAATTCTCCTGACACGTATCACGCCAAACGAGACCCATTTCTGAATCGCTGAATGGTAATGCTTTTACCACCTGTTTTGAGAGCTGGTTTGTGGATCCAGCACAGCTTGGGGGGATGTCTACAATCTTCTCACCATTACTCTCCATCCCATTTAGAGCGGGCGTCATAAATATTTCCAACAGCGTCTCGTCTGTACCATAATCGTATACCGGCCGTGATGCCATCGGTGAGCTATCCAAGTACCGCCGACTGAGACTCAACAGCGATGAAGATAAGCTCTCCGAGGTTGAAATTGACCCTGCATCCGCAGGGTTTTCGTTCCTCACCAGTTCCACTGGACCTGACGCGAAATCCGACAGGGAAGTGGAAGTTCGCTCAAGCAACACACTAACGCCCTCCACTGCAGGTGAGCGTTTCATTTTGCTTTTTGCATTTGCATTCTCGAGTTTTTCCTCATCACACTTATCGTCACTATCCTTTTTAGTGTCCTTAGAACAGGTAACCTCCGTAGTGAGTGGAAAAGGCACTCTCCGAGGGTTCAAATCAGCATACTGGTTTTCCATTATTGTAGTTACTCCTGGTGACGAGAGAGCCCATTCGGCAACATCGTTCAATTGAGTCCGAGTCGGTGACAGTGCTTTGGAGTTGGCTAAGCTGCAGTTTTCATCAATTGCACAAGCATCGCTCGACGACATAGTGTGCCGTAGTAGAAAGGCACCAGATGGCGGAGCTACTGATGGCAGACTTTTGGATCCGCTATCCTTCATATTCATGTTAAAGTGGTACGAAGAGTAGTTATAAGTTTTAGAAGGCAGTTGAGGCGCACAAAATTCTATCTCCTCCTGCTTCACCAGAAAGGATGTATCTGTTTGGACTTGTTCAAGAGCAAAAGGCATGCTAAGAGTCCCACAGGTGGTTGCATGATCGCGCAGTTCATTGTAGTCCAAATTTGTTTCACCAACGTACCATTCTGTGCCATATGAAGCTCCAGTGATGTAGTGCGCTTCAAGCAGATCTGTTTCAGAGTTAGATCGTTCGACCGGTGAATATTGATGCTGTACAGTAATATTTTCACTGGTATCAAAAGATCTCGAAGATGGATCTTCTTCTTCCTCTTCAGTGATGGTATCTAAGATGACAGGGCTGTTTTCACATGGATCGGCTTCAGCAGAATCGCCTTCGGCCTCCTCGTTAGTGGTGATCTCTAAAGGCGTCATTTTCTGTTGCACCAGGTAGATCTCATTTAGAAGCACGTTCATGTGGGAATTGTCATGCCTTAGCATTACGTAGAACCGCGCTCAATCATTATATGGAGAGGAGCGCCCGTGATGGTAGAAAATAATGCCTGAAATGCATGCGCACACATGACACACCCGCACCAAGAGAGGGTCGTCGGATTGGCTCAGATGGGAGACGGGCGTTGCTTGCCCCCACCATTGGTCGTGACGACTTGCGCCAGCATTTTAGCTTAGGCGTTCGCTGAGAGGTGCGGTGTGGCGTGGTGTGGGAACGCTCACACATGGCCACCACAACACGGTAAGGTTAAGGTCAGGACATGCAGGCTAAAGTTGCGCCACCTCACGACTCAGTTGAATATGACTCCTCCAATCCGTAAAAGGCGAGATTTCATTACTGAAGCTTCTGCTATCGTCTCATAAAAATGCCAGGCTACTCAGCATTAATTGCAGAGGTGGGTGATGCTTGTGTCTTATAGACGTTGGGGTACGATCCTACATGCATTATTTTCTTTTTTATTGGTTAACGAGGCCAACTTTTCTCATCCTCTCATGAATCCCATTAACCATTTTTTATCTACCATAATTAAGTCGTTTTTTGGTATCTCAGAAACAAGCAGAAATGGTGCGAGTAGGCATTTGAGGCTAAGCATGGAGCCAGACGATTTCGTCTAATGGTTTATCTGAACGTAAAGCTCGGCGTCGTCCCTGATAAGGGAATTGAACTGGCCCTTGATGGTGGACCTTTGCTTACGGAGGCTTGCAACTGTATGAATGCTTGGAAAAGAATATTTATGCCATTTTAATCACGGGCGTTGGAGTAACAAACTATGCGAATGGCTTGATAAGTCAATCAAAAGAATGCACACAGCTCTAACGTAGGCGATGATTTCGCTGTGGGAAACCACTCTCGGCGAATGTGAACTCAATCCTATTCCCATGCCTACTGATCCACTTATACTGCTTGAGTAAATAGCCAAAGCATGAACAAGCAATCGTCTTAACTATGTCATACCGTTAATGTTATCCACTTTTCCAAAGTTATTTGCGCTGGTGTGACTTTTGGCGATTAGACTCACAACTGACGCTAAAATACATCATACATTCTATAAGGCGGCAGAATTTTTGAAATGATGTCTGGTGTACTTGCTTCACTACGTTGGAGAGCAGCTTCCGCGGATTAATCAGATGCACTTCTTGATGAGAACCTCGCTAGCATAATAAATAAGCTCTATGAATGACCTCACAGCAGAACTTCTCTGTGATAAAGCAATAAGCCCACAATGATAGATAAAAATGGTGGCATAGTGCACGCGAAAGTTTGTGTTGGAAGAATCGCAGTAGGCTTCGAGGGCACCTTAAGCAAGCGATCATTTAGTCGGCTTATATGTATAAATACTAAACTAAGCACAGATGGATAGAATGGAGGAGGAAAACACTGGTGTGGAAACGAACATTTTGGTCACTCATGTAGTCAACGTGTAGTGTTGTGTTGAACTGGTTTTGTATCGGCTTCTGGTCCAGAGGGTTTGGAGGCGTGATTATGGTAAAATTTGTGGAAAGAGCTATAAAGTCGCTTCATTGTAAATAGTGCTTCTCATCTTTTATAAATTTTTTCAAAGTCTTCTCCTCGGCTTTCACTTGAGGTCGTCTTAGTCCTCCTCAATCACCGTAATATTTGCAAACTGATGGTCTAAGACGAACTGATCACCTGAACACTGGGTCCACGTCGAATAAAACTAACCCCGTTCTTAAATCACGGAATATCAACCTTGACTGCTGATCAGATGGAAGGCAATTGACCTACAATTTAATTAAAGCTGAACGGTGAAAAATCAGACCATCACCACTGGTCGCGCTCAGAGGTATTCGGTTGCTTTTGTTTGCAGTGCATTTACAGCAAGATACTTTGAGTGAAGGCTCTCTGCTCTCTGCAGCAAGAAATTCTCATTGTCAATTATTTTATTCTAGTTTAGGGTTACTACAGGCTGTTAGAGGCTCCATTTCGAAGAGTGCCAAAGTGAGACCCTGCATATTTACCAGGACATAGTGTTGCATCAAACGCTCATAGAGATGGTCTATTAATCACTTTTCCCCTTAACATTTCATCCTAATGTGGATGTCAGCACAGTACGAAGTCTGGTGAGCATATCGGGGTTTTCGCAAAATGAGGCTGTTTCCACGCCAATCAATGGTTCTGCCAACATGCGAACGTAACAGCAGGAAGCATAGTCTGTAACACTTTTACGTTTTAATTCATTATCGGTACTGATCGAATGAGACAACATGGTTTCAAGTTAAGCCCTCATCTATTCTGTGGACCTTAACAAAATAGCAGTCCCAAAATCACGAGGAGAATGTGCCTTATAAGTGGAATCCAAGCTTGAGCGAGCATTGTGAAGCCTGCCCTTATTCGAAGATCATCGATATTAGCTACACAAAGTTATATTTTAAATCCGCTTCAATAAGGTGTGGTGTATGTAAGCAATTGGGACCACTTAAGGTTGACATTGCATTGACCTTGCGTGGTAAGACGACTGAGTCGCAATTGAAAGAAGGGTGGTTGTCTTAACATGCTACCTGTCTATGGCGGACTACCCTATGTGATAATCGTGGTCGAGGCAAATCAATTTAGGGGTCGCAAAAAATTTAAGCCAAGCTTAAATCCGCCAGTTCATTCCAACATTTCAGTCACGCCGCATTGCTAACTCTATTAGAGAATACTTTATTGAGCCACTTGTCACATCTTGGCGGTGTCATCAATTCCATTCACTACAATTTTCTGTGCTTTTATTCACTCCTGATGTGAAAATAAGACTTAAATGCCGGAAAAATGAACTTGTGATTCAATAACGCGCGCGCGACGATACGTCATTGACACCGAAGAGCTGTTTGCTTGATGTCAGACCATTTCCACCACATATGCTCGTACCTGTCCAATGCACCTACCTCCAGTTGGCGTTACGGGAGCACCAAAACACTTGCTACCTCTTATCATCTGTTGTGTTGATCACTCTAATTCGTCTCATAGAGTGGGGAAGGATCAGTTCAGTGGCAAAATAACTACTGTACTCCCAAAGCTCGCTTCTGCTTTGCTGACAATCAGTCTACCCTCCCTCAGATAACCCCATTTTTGATGGAAATCAAGTTGCTTCTTTTGTCTATTACAGGCTTGATTAATATCTAATATATTTCCTCACTTTTTTCAAGCACTGCAATGAAGCCTTAAATCTTTTTTAAGCGATTGCGTGATTTTGTTTTTTAGAAAACATTCCAAATCGTTTTTAGCAAAGGGTAAAATTTAAAATGTAAAAATCGTCGTTGAAAGGTGCAAAAGGCGCTGATAAGCTTCCAAGTGGTCAAAGGGCCTAGCAAGCGTTACCAGGTGAGTTAGGCACCAAACTGCTCCAGTGCCATCCCCAACTCAATTAACCTTCGTGTAGTATTTTAAAGATCCCAATCGACTGAATTTGAAGTCCCATCTAAGAGAATAAAGAGGAAGCACTTATATCTTGAAGGAACTACCTTCAATTTGTATAAAGGAATGTCAAAAGTGGCCGTCACGTGTGTAGGCAGCTCTGAACTTCAATACAGATCACCGGAAATGCCAGAGGTGGTGATGCTTCATTTGTCCTCTGCACTTTCACTATTTTTCCATCTATCCACTCACCCTAATGCCAATTTTGCCTACCTATTTGCCGATAAATAAAATTTGTTGCTATTTTTGACTACCACTTCATAAGGAGCATTTGTCGCATAGAGGGATAACGGCTAATGACATGTCCCTTTCACCTTCTTCAATGCTGGTTTTGAGTAATTAGCTCTCAAGAAATCTCCTTTGCGATACCACACTACTTCGAATGTAGGAGAGAAATGTGGTTTAAAATCTACACCAAAGTGTCCTGCCTAGTGTCACTGTTTCCACAATCTTTGTAGAAGTCAAACTGCTACCTTTTTTAAACATGAGAAAGGGAGGTCGAAATGCAAAATTTCGATGGTGGTCAATGAAGAGGAGGACAGTGGTAATTCCCCTGCCCAAAGCCGTTGAGTGAGTTAGCGTAATTTAGCGAGAACCAAAGATTGCACAATCATTAGCAAAATTCAGTCCTAGTAATTGGGAAGAAGCACAATCATCAAAGTTTAGTCGTCTAAGAAGTTGATTGGATAGACAGCTGCATTATTTTTGCGAACTAACATTGATTAATGGCAGAAAGTTGTAACTTGGATGAGACATGTCCATCAATGATTCTGTAAAGGCTAATTTTGCTTCCGCACAGAAAATTTAAAACTCTTCTCCTCGAAATAAACTAGTTGTAGATTTGCTTTGACATTTATACGAAGTAATCTGACATTTAGTTATGCACAAAAATTTGGGCGCTGTTTTGTGTGAAATGGTGGGCTTGCAATTTATAAGACAGGGCATCGTCTCTTTGAGGCGTCCTAGAAGGGCATTTCTCAACCGAGGGAAAGTATGGGTTCCCCACGTATCCTTAGACGTCCTGGATGAAGAGCCGGCTTATCCAGAGTGTCAACGTAAAAACGTTAGTCGGAACATACTAAGTAAAGATATTTTGGATGCAACATTGGCTTAATCAGAAAAGGGTTTGTTTTAAACTTCACAGAAGCTTGGTAACAAGATAGGTAAGATGTTAAACGGAGCACTCAAGCCAATTTTAAGGACGCAATAACCTCACCATTGATCTTCAGTGGGTAATTGGTCTTTCTGGGGGCGTTTTGCTCGGCAAAGCGTTGAGAGCCTGGTGTTAGGAGAAGCGAGGTGTGGACAAGGACATGGCCGATGAAAAATACCTGCAACCTGTGTACGGAATGCACATTTTTAGGCACATAGGGTACCCTTGTCGATAAAAGTTTTGCTATACTTCAGATCGTGCCTTTAACGATCAGTTGCCACCTTTGATGATGGATTTGCTTCACTGACAGAGTGCCACTGCTGCAAAGCTGTTTCATGTCAAAAAATTTGAACGACGAAATAGAGGAAGACAGTTTCTCCAGTGGAAAATGGATAGGGAGAAGATGGCAAAAGGTAAGGGTACACACGGCCATCCTTCAAATAAGGTACAGACCAGTTAATGATCATTAGGAGCAACTTACTTAAAGAAACCCCATAGTTGCAACCAAGCAGTGAATACAGAAAACTTGAACATCCGTTCCACGCATGGAAGAAAGTTGCTTTCCCTATTCCAAATCGCATTTGATTGAATTGCAAAAATGCGGTCGTGGTGCCAAGCGACAAACAACCCCGTAACTACTGCAACATCAGCATCTTACAGTTATCCCTCCTGCCAACCTAAAGGCAGAACCCGTGTGGGGACTGCAGCCTCCTTGGTCCAAGTCAGAAGTCAGTACTGTTTATAGAACCTGAAACACACCATACCGCTTAAACTAGTTTGTCAATAAAACAGCTCACAACGGCTCTAGAGTGCATTAACCGCAAGCATCTGCATGATGCAATCGACGATCTCAGTAGAGCCGCCGTCAGCTCCCTCCTACCGTAGTGCTACTCAAAGAGGATAGGGAAACTGCGCGCACCCTCACGTCGATTACCCCAACCCAAGACAACAACCTCAGCCCGCTCAAAACAGGCCAGCACCGCGCAGTCCCCGTGTAATCGGTGCAGTACTGGAATACGAGACAAGCAGAGCAACCCCAACAGCGATATTATGCGAGCAATAAATGCGCAACTGTGACTACACCCGTGAACAAGAGTGCAGACGAAATTATACGACTTATCGTTTTAAAGACACAAAATGACCCCATCATAGATCCTCCTAGACGAGTGCGAAGATAGCAGTGGGCTAACACCCTCCTCATGTGAGAGCGTTTTAACGTCGTGCTTGCATATGCACACCTAAAGTTCAACACGCCTGAACTTAGACGAATATGCACAACCAATGATCGAGCAAGACGGAAGAATTATGTTCATAATTGTCACCTCACACAGAGCAAAAAAGACTGTAAACTCCAAATGTACACAAAGACAGGGAACGGCGTCCCTGCACATTCACATCTACCACACACACACACACACGCAGACATTCACACAGCTCTCATTCCCGCAAGGTTAATTCCAAATACGAATCGGTTTCTCTGAAAGCACATATTTTCCACCAGAAGGATTCGGCTTCCTTTTTGCAGCCCCCACACCAGCATGCTGAGGATGCAGATTGGAGGTGGTCAGCAGCGTCGCAGGAACACCCTTGTGGGGAATCATCGGGGACATGGGCATCTCAATGCCTAGCCACGGTCGCAGACCGAAGAAAAGCAGTGCTTTCTTCTCCCCGCACCGTCGAAGAAACGGTGCCGGCATAAAAGCTGTTAAGTCGACCCGAGCCTCCTCTGCACCTGCCAGCGTTGTAATATATTTGAAAGAGGAGCGCATTCGTAGAAGACTTTCCTGAGTCGGTGCCAATGGTACCATGGTTGCGGAGTTGGGAGATATGGGCCCGGAGAGGACTGCAAGACGCCACTTCTCCACAATCTCCGAACGGAGACCCAGATGAAGACGAATGCGATCGAGGAGACTAGAAACAGGTTCATTATGGCGCAAGACCATAGTAAAGGGGATGAGACCGGTAGAGATGGCTCCGCTACCAGTGTCGCGATAGAAGAGACTGCAAACGACGGGTAGAGTGGATGCTTCGTCGGGAGCCAGGGAATCATGAACGGGAGTGCTGGAGGGAGAAGAAATTTCGAGACCTAAAGACTCTGCCCCATCATCGTGTTCACGATCACATGAGTCCATAGTTTCATCTTCCGCCCTGTCAGAAACGTGGACTGAAGCATCCGCAGAACGCACCAGACGTTGCGGAACTTGCATTTCACTTTCCTCTTCCGAATCGCGTTCCAGGAACTAATGAGATGATAAAACGAAATAATGTCAGACCAGACTTAGATGCCAAAGAATGAAAACAAACAAACAAAAATGGATTAATATGCAAAAGTGCTAGAAATGGACTGTATTATTGTGAACTTAGTTGAGAGCACAAAGCAGCTCCTTTTTTCCTGGATATTCGTGAGCACGGCTTGAATATTAAATCCATAAAATAATGAAAACTTCCATTCGGAAAAAAAGGAGATCATATCCCAGTGAAAGACTGAATTACAGCAAAAGCTTGCAGATTTCTGATAAAACCCCGTTCGGAAATACGGAAACCTGTCAAAATGTAGGTTTGCACAAGATATCGAAGAAAAAGAAAGCGAACCACCAATAACCTTGAGAGGGTCGTTTTCATCATCGCCTCCTTCGTCCTCCTCCTCGTCCGCATTGCAAATAAGACTCAAGTTGTTGGGATCGGCAACACCGCTGCTAGATCCATCATCAACCTCCTCTTCATCGTCTTCTTCCTGGTCTTCCCCACGCCCTGCATTACTCGGTGTGTCAACTTCCTCTTCCTCCTCTTCTTCTTCCTCGTCCTCGTCATCTTCTTCCTCAATATTTACGTCGTAGTCATCTTCCTCATCCTCCTCCTCATCCCCATCTTCGCCTCTTGCAGCGCCCATTGGAGTGGGCACAGATGATGAAGCGATTGAGGAGGGAGCAAGAGGAAAGCTAGGAATGCGCAAAGTCTCACCTTCCACGCCCGACAGGAGCAAGGAGGTGTCCGACTCTCCTTCGTAGGCAGCGAAGAACTCCTGCTCCTCAGGTGGCATTACTTCTATCCGTAAAAGACGATTTTCCAACAACTGAGGAGAAGATGGTTTGAGTTAGTCAACTGGCGATTAAGAGAGCCCCTAGGTAATTTGCTCTAACATTAATCCACTTTGTGTAACACTAATTTCTGAGCACCTTTGGTAGGTGAACTATTAAGTCTTGACTTAACAATCTAAATTAAAATATGCACCTGCCTAAACCACATGAATACAATCGAATTTAGTCGTGTAAATAAGTACTGAATGACGAAAAAAGCTTACGATTACAAAAAGACTAAACAGCAAAAAACGCGTACTTTTTGGAGGAAATAAAATGTAACATATAGTAGTAATGAAGTAGAGCAAACGGTGACTTCGAAATAAAAACGATGGAGTACTAACTCTGAGACCTGAAAAGCCGGAAAACGGAATGAAACTGAAAACCCACTTGAAGCCTCGCAGCAATTTCATCTGCTGGATATTGTTGAATGATCCACGCATTGAGCGTTTCAAACATTCTGAGAACCGGTGGTTGTGGTGATACGGTCTCTTCGGGAGAATCAGATGTGACCTCATTAAGGTCTGAGAGACAGCCAATAGAAATGAGCTCTTTCTTGGCCAACTGGAGAACTCGACTCACTGTCCACTGGTGTGGAACAATGAGGAGGAGACGCACTACTTCTCGTACCTTTCTGCTGTCAACGAAGACGCATCTCAATTGACACATGCGCTCCAAACGCTCGGTAGGAATCGAAAGACGCTGAAAGAAAATCTGGACAGATGGAGTAAGCTTCCGTGCAGACCCGTGATTACTTTTGTGCCGCGGCGGAGAGGGCGAATGCTGCACAAATATATCCTTTGCCTTCCATTCCAACGAGGATGGAATCGCCGAAAACTCTCGCTCCCCACTCACAGTTGGACCAGATGAAACTGTGAAAAGCTGTATACAGCTGGCTGGTGCTGAAAAATGACTCGCCACCAGGGCCACAAGATGATTGTAGCTTTCGTTTGGCGAGATGAGGCCAGTGAAAGCCGGTCCCTGAATAGAGGATATGACTTGCTCAAGAAGAAGACTAGTCTTGAATGTTCTACTGCCGCCACTGAGTGGTACACCTGGTAGGAGAATTCGTTCTCCTATTGGGGGAGGAAAAGCTATTGCTGCTGCAGGTTCAACGCAACGCAAGCCAGGAAGCATATGCCATGGGAAAACCAATTCGTAAAACTCAACTGAAACACGAGTGAGCAGTTCATGATAGAAACCCTTAACGAAAAACGGTGAGTACAGACTACTTCTGAGAGGTGTTAACACTGTCGGCGAAGCTTTTGAGGCAGGTTGCTTTCTGCCCACACCCGCAGCGCAATTGAAATTGCCTCGAATTCCTTGAGCCCCTGTAACTGGATAAGACCGACACCGCATCATTCGCTTGCTGCGGGTCAGAAGTTTCATAGCAGTAAGCCTAGGACGTGCGATTGGTTTTCGCTTTGTTAAGATAAGAGAGCCTTTGGGCGCCACGATAGAGACGGAAGAGGGTAATAACTTTGATTCTTCAGCAGCTGCATCATCGCTATCACCCACGCTCTCTACTTCCAGTTCCCTCGCCTCCGCATCTAGCTCTTCAACAGCCTGGGGTTTTAGTTGATAGACGAGGATGAAAGTTTCCGTCCCATCATCAGTACCTAACCCCATTCGGACAGTCGAGGTTTCAAGGTGATGCGTCAATGAGCGCAGCTCCTTCAAACCATTCTCCTCGAAAAGGAGAATGGAGCTATCCGCTGGAAGGGATGCACGCGAGCGCAGTTCGGAAAGAATAGAGTTTAGAGGTGCATCCAACTGAATAATGATCCAACCGACGAAGATGAGAGTCCCCATTTGAGGGTTGGTGAGAAATGGTGGTGCGGTAAGGGTGTTAGTGGGAGGAGGGAAGAAATATTTGAGGAAACAGAGAACTTCGTTCCGTGGAGCGAAGGTGGAGGAGATGAGGTGAGGTAGTGGAGGAAGAGTTTGAACCCAAACAGCCATTGGACCAGAAGCCGGAAGGAGAGGAACAGGTAGAGATGTGCAATCGTCGCCAATTCCAGTTGGTAAACGGGAGACCTTCGAGGGGGACTTAGTTTGATGTTGGTAGGAATTGGTTAGAGCTGCAAGGGCGGCCATCGGGTCCTCTGTGGTGGGGAGGGGCGAAGAAGGCTTCTGTACAGGGGCTTTCTGCGGAGGTAATAGTGGAGTGAAGCGAAGCATCCCGGATCGCCTTAAGCACCAACAGTACATTTTTAGTCCAGAGAAATTGAGGTTTGACTTAGATGTAGGTCTATTGAGGGAAATTGAGTAGCAATGCTAAAATAACCTACATACACAGTGGCGAAACAGTGCTGTTCAGTTAACAAATGAGACAAAACGAGATCCACATATCACACACCTGGTTATGACCCTCCAGAGACGAATGAGCGAGGGATCAGTTCGCAAGTGTGAGGCTACGATGGATATAAGTTCTGGCAACGTGGACGTTTTTGGGACATTGAGCCGACGTGTAGGTAGTGTTTCGAAGTCACAAACATCAAAACCCTGTAAGAGTGCAGAGTATAACCAACGACGACCGTCAAAAATACAACGGTAGGGGATCTACGGATGTAGCATCTAGAAAGTTAGACGTGAATCGAGAAATTGTCAATGCGAACCTGCCAACCGTAGAAGTCTTCATCAAGAACGAGGAGAATACAGGCGTAGAGATGCGACTCCGCTTTAGCTCTGCGATGGTCCGCCTCGACACGCCGCTCCTCCTTGAGACGGGTTAATAGGCTGTCAGGGATGTCCGCCGTCGACACAGGTTTGAGGACTTGCGGCAAGGAGGACTCTCGGATATACACTAGCATATAAGCACTAGTACAACTCTTGTATAGGCTGCCATGCTCGTCATCTGAGGTGCCGTAGTTCTACAACACATGCAGACGTGTAGCCGCATCTTTCCAACACAACCCTAAGAGACCAAAACTACCTCGCCTATCAATTTAGATCTATGTGAGAAAATTTTCATAAGAGCTGTAGGCCAGGACGCAAACAAGCATTACTAGGTGGCTTGAGACGTCCCTTAATGACAATTTCCTCTTCCAATACCCTCAGTATGCATAAAAAACCTTACTCCAAATGTGAAAATCTTGGTGCCCAAGCTACATAACCGTGAGAAAATTTGAGAGAGGGAAGGTTGGATGAGGCATTCGAGTCGAAGAATGACATACCAAGTCAATGGCCTCCCTAGGAGTGGACCTTGATACAACGTCATCATCAAACTTGTACCACCGGTTATTGCCGTAGGGGTTGATGTAGACGACATAGTGACCGCTGTGATTGTCACCCGAATGCACCAGGACAGCATGAAGAATGTAGGTAGCAGGATCACCAGGATCCGTCGATCTGAGAAAAGGATCCAGGTGGAGGCGATAGGGGAACTCAAAACGGTCATTCACCTTGATATTGGCGTTTGTTATGCAGTCATACTGGAAGCGCATCAATTGTAAGTAGAGAACGGGAGGGAAGCTTGTGAAGATGACACCTTTTTCTGCTTCCTGTAAACCGTATTCGCCGGCGTCATACTTGTTTTCACCACCCAGAGTTTCAACGGTCGTGTACTCCTGAAATAAGTGGAAATTGTTGTTAAAAGACTGTAACCTACGAGAACACTCGAGTGTTGAACCAAAAAAACTCATTTCTGAACGTTTACGAAAACACTTCCGTTAATCACACAAGAACTGACGGCATTTGTAGTTTGTCTTCCAGACCACTCCATAATCTCTCAGTTTTGCCCAATCAAAGCCAATATAAAATATCCTTTATTAGATGCAATTCTTCTTTAGTCTCGTTGCAACGAATGTTCGGGCCATTTCGTAGGTTAAATGCGAAAATCGGTTTGGAGTTAGTGCACAGTAATAAGGACATCACATCTCGCCAGTGATGAGATTTGAGGAAATAAGGCTATACTAACATTAGAATGTAGTTTTAGCCGACGAGTGAAACCATCAAAAACAATGGAACTCGAAGGACTTACTTTAAACGCTTGATAGATGTCCCGATTTCCCTTAACCTTCAACTGAATGTCGTAGAAATTCTCCTCTCGTTTTGACTCATAAGGCACGTGTTTGCAACGAATATAAGAAAGCATTTTTCCACGAAACAGACCAGGTATCGTCTCCTCCACCGAAGTCCCCTTCATTTTGTTCTCCATGTTATCCAGCAGGACGCGGCAAAGCTCCTGCACGTCATGCTGCATTAGAGACTCAAAAGACTCCCAACCAAAACTGCGTGTAAGCCGTTTTGTGCCCACAGCGCGCTCATTGAACTGTAACTCGTAAAATACGCGCTGAAGGGCAAGTGGAATGCTGGTGCTCGCGTCATCACTTTCTGTAGGCATCAGAAAGACAGCGCGACGCAATTCATTGGTGAAGAAAAGGGCCTGTAGCAGAGAATTCATGTAGCAGGTGGCACCCTGATTGCGCAGACCTACGAAGCCCGTGAACTTCTTCGAATCCCAGTCTGCACCATGTGGGGCGTCCGCATAAACTTGAATCCGAAGAACTAGGGTATCACGCTCTAAGGACTGAGCTGCCTTTTTCACAGGTGGCGATTGCAGCTGCATTGGAGAACTAAAAGTCGTAGAGCAGCTACGGGGGAGAGAGGATGAGCGCCGATACCTCCTTGATGGTGATCCATTAGACGAGATATCTGAGAATGAACACGACCTAGTAAGAGACCGTGATAATGAGACTCCTTTTTCTTCTTCCTCTGTCTACAGCAAATAAATGAGAAAGGCGGATTAATTCTGCTGTTTGGATCATTTTGGGAACATAATTCCCAAATTCTATTCCTCGAGTTCACTCACAATTGGGGGCTCTAGTGGCCCCCCTTCACATTCGTCTGCTACAGGTGGAAGGACCAATCCGCGTTCTGGATCCAAAAGTTCAGACCAGGAGATGAAGGAAGAGAAGCCCCAGTCGTTCTCCTTTAAGCAAAAGGTATGGTCGATGGATTTGGTAAGGGACTCGGCACCTGGTTGCTGAGCAACGATAGTGAGCTTGGCCCGAGCATGGCAGGTCCAGGTTGGCAAATCGCACTCAGCGTTACATTGGAGAAAAAACCCGACAGGACGATTTCCCCCTTGGCAGCCACGGAGGAAAAAGAGAATCCGCCAGGGCAAACAACGAATGATAGTCGCCTTGGGACTAACAATCTAGATAGGACGAACTTTCTTTTGGTGACAAATGCTGCCAGTAAAATGGAATACCTACATGAGATGGTTGTCACGAAACCTGAGGCATAACGAAACAAAAAATAAGTTGGTTACCATTCTAGCCTAGCAGAGAACCCTTCGTGAAAGAATAAATGAATTAAACGCATGGCTTAACTATCCAATTGTCCCAGGAAAATTGAGTGAATTGGGTAAGGGAGGAAAAACTCACCCTGACGTCCTCGTTTACATTCTACAACACAAAAATACATACAATCGATTAAACGAGAACCAATGCTAATAAAAAAACTGAGACGAGAAAGGAACACAGAATCGAGTAGTAAAAACTAACCTTTGTATAAATCTTACTGATATTGCGGATACGAAATTCGAGTTTTCCTGAAGGACCAGCTTCATCATCGTAGTCCTCGTCATCATCCTCTTCAGAGTGATCGGTTAAATTTTTCGGACGTTCCTCTTGAGGGCTCAAATTTAACTGCAAGGGTAGCGGTGGTGGGGGTGGAAGGTTAAGTTCTAGATCCGTGTCCTATAAAAGAGGAGCAGATATGGAACATTCGTATGCAATCCGAAAACTTCAGCTACAAGAATAGAAAGCACGGAAAAACTGCTGATAATGTCAGAAAGTCGGCAGAGCTAACGAGCTTGCACCCAGAGGAGGTTCTTCCACATACCTCATAAGAAAAGCCGGAGAATTGAGAGTTTACAGAAGCCGGTGATCTTAAAGAACGACATTAAGAACTATTAGAACAGACAAACAGTGGTTCTTGGCTGCGATACTTGATACAGTCGGATTGACTTACGAACTATCCAACGAGGACATTGAGAGTATGCAACACGCCCTTGCACAAAACTAAGCCGTGGGTTCAATTCACTGTACTCAACTCAAAGAGGAACTCAACGCGCATAAAGTGGGAGCAGGACTCACGAAGAGCCAATAAACGGTGGCAAAGAACAGTCTGCTCACTAGAGAGCTCACAGTTCACCAAGCATTACCTTGAACTAAATTATTTAGCAAAAAAAGAACAGGTCCCGTAGAGATAATAATAATAGGAAGCTCTCGTCCTTGGCGTACAATACCTTATTTTCAACAATCGTACCCAAACACGTCACAAGACACCGAAATGTGCGGTCCCTCAGTGTACTTTTCGAACGGATACCCGGTTTTCTTATGGTCAGCTCTTTGAAGGGCTCGCAATAGCACACTAAGTTATCAAGAAGCGTGATATGGGTAACAGCAACATTATGAAGAGAAGTAATATGAGCTAGTCAAAGAGAACATTGTTGATAGTGAGAGTGAACAGAAGTTAAGTCCTAAACAATACTAGATCAACTGACAGATTCAAAGGACCAGTCAAACGAGGCAGAAATAACCTTATCAGGAAAGAAGTTCAACTTGCGCCGTTTGGGACCATTTTGCTGGGACGGCGATATGGTGTCACCTCCCATCTGTCCACTCAAACGTTCGATTGATGCGATCCGATGACGATCAATTGGTCGTGGACTCCCATGCACCTCGTTCCCTTTTTCCACGTTACTTTGCATTCAATGACCTGTGTTTGTTAACAAGCTAGGATTATGACAAGCATGTAATATCAAGAACCCGTAGCACAGAACAAAAAGTAGCACTTAAAACGGTAGTCGCGCTACGCACATTAGACTGTCATGTTCCTCAATTGTGTAAAAGCGGAAATTTTCGAGTACACGACTAAACTATGGGAATGCCGTCAACTAGCATAGTTTAAAGTGGGATTTACTGACTCCTCAGTGATAATCAACATAACGAAAGGGAGACACGTACAACCCCAGTGATTCTCACCAGCCTTCCAAATAATAGTATAATGCTAAAAGCGAATTGGCATAGAGAGAAGCCTCAAATGCCGAAATCATGTCATGCCTTTAATTGAAAATATCCTTTTTCAAACTCATCCAAAAACAGTAAAAATGGTAAAGATACGTAATCAAGCCCGGAGATATCTTAAGGAGACAACGGGCAACTGTTAGCGGGCGCGTTTGTGAATGACAGCACCCCAGAAGGATGCAACTTTAACATTGCTATGCCTAAATTACATCATACTGAGTGATAAGCAAGATAGGGATTTCCGCCAAATGATAAAGCAAAACTCGGAACAACCATTCACACGCACACCACGGTGGAGTTCTAGAGTACATGACGCAGCAGAACAGCAATCACTTAATACTATGTACAAAAGCGCACGCTCAAAGCCAGAGCACACTATGAGAAAACAGGAAGGCAGGTGGGCCACTAACTCCACTATTGCTTAGGAGGCAACGCCAAAATCTCCAGTTCCCAACTCTTAAGATCAGACCCATAATTAGACACACCCAACACTAGCAGATAGTTCAAACCGTCATCAAAGAAGATTAAGTAGACCAATTACCAAATAAATCTCACGGAAAATCAACTAATGCCCCCTAAACACATGCGAAAAAATTCTGCAAAAAATCACACCTGGAGCGCAACCGTTAAGTAGCATAGTAAAACTAAAGAAGAGAAGAAGGTTGCGATTATCACAAAACTTGAAAGTCACTATGGCATATAACGATAAATATTTTGCGTTTGCCGTCTAAAGCAAAATTCTGGCATTTTTGTTATAGGAAATGATTGTAAGACTGTGTGACGATATTTTAAAAATAAACGCCACATTTTAAGGTAAACTTTAACTTTTTTCGCTGATTTAGTAATAGGGGCTTTCGAAAATTGAGTAAATTTATACGTACTAATTAACCAATAGCTTCTTGCTTATTTGGAAATTGTCAATACCTAGATTGACAAAATAACTTTCCACTAATTCAAAGAACTTTAAGAAATTAAATTGTTGTATAACAATTTTAAGTATAGCGTCTCGAAGCTTTCCACCGTGTAAAAAAAACATAAGTGGGGCTGGAATCATGCAATGCAGAAGAATAAAAATGGAAACTCATGCAGGATCCAGGTCGATACCAAAGTAACGGCCAGATGTCAGGTAATCACACACAAAAGTATTGCATCTTATAAGATATTAAATGCTTACACGTTTGAAGACCATGTCTATTTGAATTATACATAAAAGGAGAAAAGTAACGTAATAATAAGGAGTCATTGTGCGGTCTCGATCAGAGACTTGATTCGTGCTTCCGCCAAGCGCCTTAAACTTAAATTTTAAAAAATCATGGCTATTACAAGCGCAGCCATATCAGTGTCACAGGGATCCTTTGTACCCCAAAATGGGGGAAAAAATTTCTGAGCAGTTAGCACGTGCAATAGCTCACATGTCAAAATAGGGCTCGAGAGTCGTGGCTCTGTAAAGCAGTTTAATCAGTTTGGACCAGGTCCCTGAAGAGTTGTTCTACTCAAAGGGCTTCCCATAGTAAAAAATAACTTCCCTTTCGGCGGCAGTAGGCATTGGGCATGACTGGAAGCTTGGTCGCTAAATAGAACGACCACTATGTATAAAGGCAGTCACGTAAAGTAGGTATCATGGTGTCAATGTAATTCGTGACAATGGGCCGAACTACGTTGAACACGGAGCTGTATTTAATTTGATCTTCTCTGCTACATACTCGTTTTGAGCTGATGTTCCGTTGCCTTTAAACTGGACATACGGAATTATGAGCTCGAAATCCTGTCGCTGAGAAGGTCAAGTGCAATCCCTTTTCTCATAGTGGGTGATGACTGGCGTGACTGGTTACGCGGGCGCTATCTCACATTGCCGAATATAGTATAGGGGCTGACGCTAAGGATGCAAGGAAAAGAGCGCTGAGGACGTTACTCAAAAGAGGAGAGGGGTGGCGTAAATAAGTGTTTCTGTGACCACCTGATGTCTGGTGGTTGATTTGGTGTTGTCCTATCCTTGTATGCGTGGGCCGGCCTCCGAGCAAAGCCAAGGTCCATCCTCCCTTTACCTCCTAGAATATATGTGTTCAGTGAAATACCAGAGGTCTGCAGACACTATTCATGTAGTACGAAGACCAGGCCGATGGTAATCGATGCAGTAGCATGTTAAATAGGCAACTTCTTGTCACGATCGAAAAGTAATTATTTTAAACTACTCCATTTGAGAAATATGCTATCATGTGAATCTGGACACCCACTCATAGTGACACACAATCTTGAGACTACTAGATCCTAGGAGATTCAACCTCACCTATAGTCCCCACTTTAAGTCAAAAAGCGATGTTTCTTTTTATGTATATTTAATAAACCTCAGTTTTCCTTATTACAAGAAATTGTATTAATCGGGCACATTTCTTCATGTTTCGCGATTTATAATGTTAACCTAACGACGGGCCACAAAACTCAAATTCTACTTCATGCTGCACTGTGTACGTTGACGGGCTTGTGTGCTCATGGCTTGCTTTTATAAGTTTGCCAAGCTACACTTTTTCTAACCCCACTATTTTACTACAGATTAATGGTAGTGCACAATTTTATGTGATTTCTCTCATGGCTCCTTCTGTGCTCCCTTTTATAGTCGGGGCTTTTAATAACTGTTGGTTTCAATGTTTCTTCTTGCAAAGTTAAAAACGAATTGCCTTGTTTTCACGAATTCTTGATCCCATTCATTTTCTTACTTTGGGTTTGCCTACATCTTTTTGTAGATCGCCAAATTTATGCTGTGCTTAACTTTCAGATATTTAATAAGATCGGCACCTCCGGAGCATGTCTCCAGCCTTCTTATCATTGTTTTATTTGTACGCACTTATTTTCTGATCACACAGGTTAATTTTATCCGAGGATCGATTTTTCGCTCTCCCCAATTCTTTCTTATGCGGCGATGTTCCGATGTGAATAAGTTTAAATGCTTTCCAAGAATGATGCGCCAAGTATTCTTGGCGAAATTATTTACACTGCGTAATTTGGCAGACATGTTATTCAAACGAATTGGAGAAGTTTACCGCTATGGATGTTTCAGTTTTCATCAAGAACTTGCAGCTAGTAAAGGACAACGAATCCTCCTTGGAGCCTGTCTTATATCGTTTGCACAGGATTCTATATCGGAAGATGAAATGATGATGTGAGCTTCCTATCATTCGTTCAAATTTACCCCTAGCTTTTCCCCAGAACTGTTGAAGCATTTGATGTCGCAAAGTATAATGAGCTTTTGAAATTTACTCAAAAGTCGCGGCAGAAGGAAGAAGAAAAAAGCTCTGAGGGCGTGTCACGGCAATCCATTGTACGTGAGTACAGTAGTCTGGAGAGTCCTCTCACATTCTACGTCCGTGATCTTCGGCATTTCCTGCGTGAGAGACAGCACGAATTCTTTCGAACTTTTTTCGCTTCTCAGAAGGAAAACCTTATACCTTCCATCGATAGTACAGACACACCTCTCATGCCGGCATCATCGCCTCGTGGGGTGATGCTCATAGATCTTTCCAGCCGCCTCTCTACCGACGGCACCGGGTTTGTGGACTCTGAGTGGGAGTGTGTGATTGATCGGCCTGATCTGCGCATGTGGCGGCGCCCTTCATGCAAGAATTCTAATGGATCCAGCAAGATGGCCGTCGGTCTCTATGAATACAGGGGTGCGTGAACCTACGATGGGTGCATTGTCATCTGCATACCTCAGTGGTTTCATTTGGTGTACCTCGTAAATGTATCCAGTTGGCTTCTAGGTGCCATAGTTCACTTAGGTTATTTGTCGTTGGTTTGGCTTAGAATCCCAAACTCTTAAACTCTACATTTTTAACCTGCTTTGATACTTGTACTACTTTAGTATTTTGAGAAGGGAGTCCAAATCTTACCTTATGCTTATTGTTCACTAGAAATAGTGGTTGTCCTCTAAGCATTAATTCTCTCGACATAATCTGTACTGTGTCTTGAGAAGTTTTGACCAAAGATTTCCACTGGAATATAGTTCTCCACTCCAATGCTATCGGAATGCATACAAGATTTTTTATTTGTGTAGCAATATTAGTCTAACTAAATCCTTTCTAAAATTTGTCATAACTTGTATGCTGGTGTTTGAGTATTGAATTCGTCAGCCAAAAGCTGTAGTTGGGGTTCATAATAGGGACGAGGATTTTCTTAAGAGACTGAAACGGTATCACGCAACGCAGGTGACGGATCAACTGGCATGAACTGATGCAAACCGAGTGTTGCCTAGAAAGCCATCTAATAACTAGCGAAAATTATTAATACATTAGAAACATGGATATCCAGTCTCTCAAACCCCACCTTGGTTGAATAGTTGTCTTATTTTAATGCACATTTTGGAAAAATTGTTGGTAAGCCCTCCTGTCATATTTGAGGGTCGCACACCGCTGTCACTGGAATTGCATCAAACACCAAATTTTGTCAAGTGAACTATTGAAATGGAGTTACCGACTTTAATCGCATTTTTCTTCCGCGTTCAAAATTTGGATATGTAGCCAATGCTGCATAGTAGTAAACAGTCATTGCCTTTAATGGATCGAATTCGAGAAGTGCCTTGTGTTCGTTGGGCGCCTCGCGGTTTCTCTCTGGTCACGATATCTTGTTTGTCTCATTTACTTAGTCGGTGATACACGTTATTTTGCTGTTTTAATAGCCAATAAGCTTGTGTATGCTCATATGCGTATTCAACAACCGCAGTTTAGAAAGTAACCAAAGTGCGATTAGCAATGGCAAACTGATGTTTTCCTTACCCACAGGAATGATCGAGTGCTGTCAAATGCCAAGGTGATTCTTGTTTTCTTCAACAAAGAATTTGTCCCAGAAATAAGATAAAATGGGCTTGAAATTACCGAGTAATAATGGCATTATGAGCTCCTATTCCCATCTAGCTTAACCTTTCAAAGAGAGAGTATGTTGTCTACATGAAATCAATAATAATATTAGCAAGATATATGTTTGAAAGTTCCTTCAGTTTTCCTGGCAATTGACTATTGTGGTTTCATCCGAAAATTCGACATTCTGTGAAATCGTAATCTATTTGGCGTTTTGTCATATGCATCGTTTTTATTTGCAAAAGCCCTGAAAAATGACGGCAGAATCACTGAAACAGACTGGGGCATGCAGCACAATCATTTAGTCCGCGTTAATCTAGTTTAGCTTTTTCACAGATTTTGTTAAATTTACTAATCTTTATGCTTTTGAGAAGCTCATCGTGAATTCAGTTTGGCCTTAATATTGCCTTTATTCACGCTTAACGTCGATCTCTACTTTAAAAGAATAGGAAAAACATATCATCAAACCCAACCTTTGATACATTTCATAAAGTGCAATGAAGTGGTGCTCATTTCCCTTTTAAACCCAATATTCGAGGTGTTTTGAGGATGGGTCTCATGTGCGCAGCATTTTTTTCCATTTCATTTCATTTTCATTTCCGTAACCTGGCATTCAACGTTAACCACATAGATACCTGAAAAGTCTGTAACGTTTGATGTTTTTGTCTCGATTGTCAGTAATTTTATTTTTTTGCTTGGTACTTTGAGGTAATGGCTTGCTGAAGACCTGAGTTGCACAAAACTTGTAGAAGGCACGAAAGCTAACGCCACAAAATTACATTTGCAGTTTTTCTTCTTATGCATTTAGTGTGTGGGACTTTCAGTGACATATCAGCACTTTGTTTTCTGGAGGTGCAATTGAATCTGGCTTATCGGCGATACTGGGATAAGAGCGTAGTGGTGCTGGAGTCAAAGAAAAGCGCAAATGCAGCAGGATCAGAGGTGATTCGGTGGGTGGCACGCTTCCCCTTCCCCCTTGCACGTCGCGAGTACATCTATGCGCGGCGCTGGTGGCTCACCACCACTGGGGTTGGGGACCAGTCCCTCGCTCTTATCATCTCACGTGTCAGCAACATGCAACCCACCGATTCCGCTGCTTCAATCACCGTAGTACCACAGGACGCTGGCTGGGCCAACGATGAAGAATCGCAGTCAGGTGGAGGATTGGTGTCGGTGCGCTCGTACGAATCCAACATGCTCATTCGTTCGCATGGTACCATTGATGAGGTATGCTCTTCGCTTGTGCCCGTTTCATATCTGCCTGTACTAAAGAACACACTAATGTCTATCCCATCATGCAAAGCGATGGTTTGAAATGAGGCGATTCTATTACTACAGCCCATTATACCTGCTTAAGTATGGGAAGTTGGGTTTTAAGTAAAGGTTTCCTATTTGCGTGTGTGACGCTTAATTTCATTTCATGGTGTCCTATCGTCTTCGCTACGGTAGAGTAGAACATTCTGAGACCCTGGATCTTGAGGATCAAGTGTAGAGGCGTCCCTGTGCACACTCCAAATTATTTGTGAACGTTTTGGTGATGTTCTGACTCCTTGTGACCTGAACTCACAAATCTGTTGTTAATACAATATGGCTACGAACACGATCTAATTCAAGCTATTTGGACCTAAAATTTGGGTGTTTAGAGGCAATTTATGCGTATTGGTGTTGGAAAGTCCACTTGATATTTTTTTCATCTAATTTATAATAAAAACTTATTTTCAGTGGTTTATTTTATGGGATTCAGTTTCGAATGAGTTGCCTTCGTGGCTAGTAACTGCGGTTTCCTAGACGAAGGTCAGCATATCGTCTTTTGTTTCAGCCGGGAATGGATTATTTTCTCATCTATCTGGATGATCCACAACTCGTCCTCTCTACAGGAGCTGCAAGTCGTCTTTCTTCGGCGGGTAGGTTTTCCATTTTCGTCAATCGAACCCATTTTAATCTTCCCATCGTCATTCCAATTTTGCATGGTTGTTGTATTTTTAAATGGAATCGTTAATGGGAAAGCCTTTTTTTAGTTTTATGGATGTGTAGAGGAGGTTGTGAAGGTTTATTGTTACCTTCACGAGGGTTAAACTTAAAACGATGGATCTTACACAGTCAGGTTGGGAAATTAGTGGATGGTATAAAGGACATTTGAAAGGCTTAGAATTGTGGGGTTTTTTACACATTCCTACGTGTTTGTTTATTTCCCAATGTATTATGAAAGCCTTTATTTAGCCGCGGAGTTTTCAAAAGTATTTGTGCTTTTTTTATAGGGTATCTCGCTTTTAATGTACGTTACAATCGTAGCATAATTACTACGCATAGGTTCTCAGTGCATACGTGGTAGTTTAGCTTTAACTTCACATATTTTGAGATTTTGTGGTTACCAAAGCCTACTACTATAGTGGGATGATATTTTTAACTCGTTAAAGTTTGTAAGAGTCTTTAATTCAGGCCACCTTTGATCACTTGAAAATATGAACTATTTCGAGCGTTTAAGTACCCTTTCATGCATAAAATTTGCCTAGTAAACGTTAGTTCCACCAAGGTCATACCGGGCTCACTGAAAACTGATCGCCTTTCCTTTCCTCCCCCTTCCCTAAGTAGGGGGAGTGCACACTTCATAACCCCATTGTATTCCTTGTGATTGGAAGTGATCCCGAGGTTGCTGGATGGCCTGCACAGCGCCGCGCTCACCATCTCTACGAAAGGCTTACCGGATACCATTCGCCCGGTGGTCCTTCGATCAAGCCAATCCTTTCCATCAGATGGTAGCACTTTCGTCGCCAACCCAGACGAAGCTTCCGACACCTCCCACTCAGAAACAATGCAGGTTAATGTTGAGAACCCTATCGCACCCATTACAACTCGAGTCTACCGGTTCTTCTTTCACTCCTAGTCTTTTCCACTTCGTCAGATGAGAAGAGTTTATTATAACTAAAATCCGCTAGCAGGAGTTTCCCCTGAACGATGAGATCTTGTATACATGCACTGATTCTGCGTGTAGAATCTTTTTTCCTCTCCGAATGTCCATTTGTTTCTCTTATTTAGTGACACTGCCATTCTAATTGGTCAATCTTGCGAAATAGCCTATCATTTCAGTTTGTTTGTAAGCAGAATTTGGAGAGTAGTGAGTCTTCTTGGCGTCCGTGCTTTAATTCTTCATCCTAATCTTTAAGAGTTTGAGTCAAATCCACCTACCTTCAAGTGCTTGTGGGTTTTCCCACTTGAAGTCTGTCTATCATGCTTTAAAAGTGAAGTACTAACGTTCACGCTGGGACGCTGACTTCGAGTGGGGCACTACCCGTCAGCTAGAGCTAGTGTTGCAGCCTCACTTGCTTACAAAATTGCTCGAAAATGTTCTAGACGGATTGTCCACCTCTATCGATGGATAAGAACTACGTAGCCTTGTGGACTTAGCTTATTGCCACCTTGCTGCTGTGGTCTTCCTGGGTAAAAGTTGTCATCCTCGTCAATAGGGGTAAGAGTTGGCTCCACAAATAGGCGCAATCGTGCGCTCTCGTCACTTACCATCAAGCAAACCGGCAATGACAATCTGAGCAGTTCATGTGTGATAAGCACCACCAAAATAGACAATAACTATTAATCGACACATCAAAAAGGCATTTTTCGGAATAATCAGCTTTATCGATGCATTAACCTCCTTTTCTAATAAAATAACTATCCACTAAACCCATTGTCGGCTTAGGTTTTTCTACATTTTCGCAATCAATTCGCAAAACGATCAGGTACTGGGCTGGAAATCTGCAGTCGTGTTGGTGGAGAAGGGAATGTACAAGGAGAGGAAGATAAAAAAGGTGCAATGGAAGAGACGAGTCTTTTAACCAAATAGTCCAAGGTTTATTTCCATCCGTCTTGCTGCCGTAGTTCTTCAGAAAATGTCTTGCATATCACCATATGAATCATCCACTGGCGTTTCACTGAAATGCCAAAATTTTAATCATTCAATCTGCCCTCCGCCGTGATGGAATCGTGTGACCATATTATCGGCCACAAAAGCATTAAATAACAACTCAGCGAACCCATGTCAACATGAAGCAGTTCTAATGCAAAAATGAGAACGGATAAGTAATCCACGATTCTAAAATCATGAACCTTGGTAGCGTGAAGGAATATGATTGTGAGCCGTAATTATCAAGAAAACTGTGCTCATTGAAGAAGCAAAAATTTTGCGGGAACATTTCAGTGGTAATTTTACAAAACACATCGACGCGTCCGTACAAAACTTACTTCAGAACACAAAGTGAAAAGAAAAGAATACGCTTCAGGTTACGATTAAAGAAGAAGTAGTTGAAGGAAGCAAGACACCGCCTGCTATATGGGTCCGTCGAGTGATTTGGTTTGTAACTAAGAAAAGCGGAATTAGTCACTTAGAGAAAATCAAGCATCGATAGGGTAACACAAGTAGTGGTTGGTATGCATGAGCCCCTCGTGGGGCGATAATTGGATGCGCCACTGCATCGAGCAAAATGTGGCTGACAGATCTAAATTTCGAGGGCCATGACTTACAGGACAACCTTTGCAAGTAAAAGGCTAAATAATGAGCACAAATAAAGACCAGGCCTTACGAGAGGGAAATGACCACACAAGCATACGAGTGGCCAGCCATGGACTGAAAACATTTGGGAATACAGGTGTCAATGCGCAAAGCTGAACGAGCAAATTCCAAAAGTGGTGCTGAAATCTTTACCTGTAGATGACACATCTGTGAGGCACGATCTCTGCGTCAATTGTACTCCACAACTTCGGTGCAAGAGCCTCATACTTGTCCACGTAAATTGAACAAAAATGCGAAATATAATTCCTCACAATCTATAAATGATTTATTGAAGGTGAACGAGGGCTTGCAAGTTAAAAAAGAGCAACTGAATATCAAAAAGCAAGCAGAATTAGAAAATTAATACACATAAACGTTTGATGATATCAGTCTACAGAGCGAAATGTAGATAAAAAAATCATGAAACAGTGTGAGGACGAGTTATGCAAATCTCGGATGCAAAATCAAATTTCAAAATTATTTATCGACGAGATGAAGTCTTACCGCTAGCTCTGGCTCAAGACAAAAATCTTCACTAGTCTTGTCCAAAAAGTCGTAAGTGGAGTCGAAAGAGAGAGTGATGGTGCTCATTAAGCAAAAAAGTTCCTTCGCAGATATGAAGGGATGTGAAGGTTTTGGCTGAGAATCAGCGCTACCTCCTTCAGAGTAGCATGATACGTTTCGTGAGCGACTCAATGACTGAGGATTAACATCAGGCTTTAAGGTGCATAGAAGAAATACGCTGAAGCATTGATCTTAGTAGATGAAAGTGGTTAGTCTCAGATGAGAGTACCTCAGCTTGGAAAGTGCTCATTCTGAAAGCCTCACGGTCAAGACTACTACCGGTCAGATCACGATAGCCTCGGAGGGTTCGCGAAGAGCTCAGTTTCAGAAATGATGGTTGCAGACCTTCGTCCAATAGTTTGGCAAGCAGTTTCTTGAACTGACGTTTTTCTTCAGTCACCATTTTGCAGGAATAGCTTTCTATCCTGTAAAATTTCAAAGCAAATTGTATTGTATTAATGACAACTTAATCAAAACACTTCTCGAATTATAAATTAACAAAAAGAGGTCACTATAGAGGCCAAGTAGATCGTAAAATACACAGTTATTACTCAAAGATTAGCCCCGAATTAAAAAACCCTACATTTATCAAAAGAAAATAACTACAACTCCATATAAACATTGGCATCTTCGCATATGGACTTACTTAACATCGAGAGCGTACCTCCGACTACAGCGCGAGAGTCGAACAGTGAGTGTCTCGAGTTGTAAGTTATCCAAGAGTTTCATCGAGTGCCAGCTATAAAAACAAGCCTTTTACTTCGAAAGTGTGTCGGGAGTCGCAAAATAAGATCGAGAGCCACTGCAGAGGTAATGAGCATAAGAAACTATACAGTGTGCTTAAATATCCGATGTGACAGTTTTAAACCTGACTTATACAGACTTTCGTAAAAACGGCGATAAATTGAGTTATTAAAACATAAAGTGCGTTTATCAGCAACAATATTAAAGAAATTGAAAATTATAGTAAAGTTTGCAATTTTAAGTAAACTAAAGAAATACGCGAATTTGTCGCACTTGCCAGTGCATTTCTATAACAAAATGTCCTTGCAATTGAATTCCTGCAATTAAATAGATCAGGACATCTTTAATACTTAGATTGAGCTGTTTTTATGACTCACTTTCCTTGTAATATTGCCTAGATTACTTACTACATTACCAACTCCTCTACTCATTCATATTTCACTTTCGCTCCTGGAAAAATCAGCAATGTGTTTGAATTTTGTCCTAGTCATAGTTAGTCGGTTTAGACGTGCTGATTTTTGTGGCGCCATCTCGAAGTGTAGGTTCGGTTCCTTGCCCGTCGTTCTTCGGGTTTGCTGTGCGCACTCGAGCCTGTTTTAAGTAGATCTTCTTTTTGCACTATGGGCAAAGCACTTTCTAAGCTATTTGGAAACAAGGAAATGCGGATATTAATGTTGGGTCTAGATGCCGCGGGAAAGACCAGTAAGACCACGCTACTCAGATTTATTTTCCAGCCATTCTCTATCGGCTCAAGCTCAATAACGCCGTGACTACTATCCCAACCGTCGGGTTTAACGTTGAAACAGTGTCTTACGATAACATAAGGTTCAATGTGTGGGTACGTTGTTGATTTTACTTTACTGCTCTGTTTTGAGGATGTTGGTGGTCAAGAGAAAATACGTCCCCTCTGGAGACACTACTTTACGGGTTCTCAAGGTTTGATATTTGTGGTGGACAGTGCTGATAGGGAGCGTATTCGCGAGGCTCAAGTTGAGTTGCACAGAATAGCCAACGATCGTGAAATGCAAGATGCCATCATATTGGTATTTGCCAACAAACAAGATCTTCCTAATGGTTTGTTCTATGTCTTTACCATTCTGCTCAGAGAGGGTCGCAAACTTAATGTTTTTAAGCCTATTTTTGAATCTCACTTGTTACCGAATTACATTTACCACCCAAGAACGGCGATTTTTGACAACGGAGTGTAGCTCAACATTGTCCTAATATCTTACTTTGCGGTATGAATTTCGGTCACGGTTTTATTCATTCGCAAATGTAGCTTGAAGACGAAAGTATCTTCAGCATTATTTAATTTTTTCAAACCACTGAACATTAAAATCGTTAAGTATCGCTTCAAAAATCGAAGAAAGCTCATCAAAAAGGAGAAACCCGGTAGGTTGCTTTAAGATTGGCATATGTTCGACAACCCGAAGTATTTTTGCGTCAGATCATTCTTGCTATCTGGACTGTTTAGTTCCACGTTCTATTTTTCTCATTCGTCCCGTGTGATAATTGACCTTGCGCAAAAAGAGCGAATACTTAGGTTACCCATCTCATTTCCGCTCTGCTTGACACTGTACTGAGTTCTTCATAAACACTGGTGTATTCCATGTTATTCCGAGCCGTATTTAGCCAGGGATTTTTATCTGATTTTGGAGGTACATTGCTTCACTTTTGATTTATCGTCAAGTCAGTAGTCTACTTCATCGCGTGCTGGTCTCTTCAAGGAGCGGATTTTCGCTAAGCCATTCTGGTCGAAATTAAAAATTTTGATATTTGTTCAGTATCATTTCGTCATTGGAAAGTGGTTTTAATTTTAGTAACTAAATTGGTTAGTCCAGACTTGCCCTTATTTTCACTTATTATCAGTAAGTTACGTGTTCACGAGGTTACCATTTATCGGTTCTGATAGTTGATTATAACTGTATGTCCTCGAGTTATACCTGTAAAATTGTAGGTTGTAAGCAAGGTTTCATAAGACTTGTCATCTGTTCCTACTATTATTACGCTCCCTGTGAACTCGGGTAGCTGATCGATCCAGGGCCTAGTCCAAACGTGTCACATCTGCTTTTACTAATGGTAGTGGGTTTCATCAAACTTGATTCTGTTTAATGATTACCTGTTACACTGCTGCATTCGTAAAATCACGCCCGTTATAGTGATTTTCATTGTGCTGAAGATTGCAACATAACTTCGTCCTCGTCAAAGCTTTAACAATTTAACTTACGATGTCGTCCAATCCGAGGCATTGGAAGGACTTGTGGTTCCTAAAACTCTTTGAATACCATTGGACTGGGCACGCAGTGGCACTGATAGGTATTTGTTGTTTCAGACCTTAGAGATGTCATCCAAAGTACTACCGTCTCTACTTCCGTTTATCATCGTGAGGTTACTATTGCTGTGAGAATCTGTCTCAGTTGCGATGAAATGCCTTTACAAATCCTGTTCGATTTCAATGTACTCAGCGGTATCAGATTCCACACCAAATGGGTCACCATTTGAGTTCTCTGGATGCCCAAAATTACGGCCAGAACGCTGTCATCTGCTCAACATGGCCAAAAATGTATGGGTAGTAGAGGCATCAATGCTGATTCTGCCGTAAGTATTAATCGAACACTGAAACATTCTGGGCAGTTGTTTCCCACCTAGGAAATCAGAAACCGCTTAACCCAAGGGTGCAGGGAACTGACGTGCGCAACTGCTACACTTTGCGAAAATGGGCAAAATGCTCGATGAATGTATGGTTCCGTTTGGTACTACCCAGAGTTGTTTCACAGTTGCCATGTCCACGCTGTTTACCCCAGGTCTCATTTCGAAAGCTTTCTTGGGATTCTCATTCTGGAACATTATCTTCTTTAAAGTTCCATTTTCTGACCAGTTGGCGGACATCTTCAACAACATTTCTTGACTTCGAATAATGCTTTTATCCGAATTGGGGTTTGGATTGCAACTGTGCACTCTTCGATGTAAGCCTTTCATGCATGCAGATGTCTGATGAAACGGCATGAAATGTGCACTCCATCATGTGTGCCTTTCAACTTGACACGAAGCCATGCCTTGTCAAAATCATCGGTCCCACATTACGCATCTCAATCCGCACAAAAACCACGTACTTTGGCTCCGCTGATGGGTTGGTGCAGTACGTACGGGCATTCTCGGCCTGCTGAGTCACATCAACGCGTGCTTGTGCGCTGTTGGATATATTCGCCCCTTGCCATCACTGCGGCCGTTGTCCCCTTCTGCAGACATCTTATGGACGAATGAGCCATCTGTTGGCCAACTACATTTTTTGTAGACTTGTGCAGGTGGCTATTTGGGACATTTCAACTGGCCTATTTTCCAAGCAGCTGAACTGAGTGCCTTCATTGGCGCCCCGAGTACAGCTCAAGAATTCTGATGATCAAGATTACCATAACCATTCGATGATCATGATATACTTCTTTGTTTATTGTTCAGGAAAGCAATCATACTTTTTTCCTGAGTCGAAAAATGCGGAATCGTCCTTTTTTCAACTTTGCATCAAGTAAGAATTGGACCAAAGTACTATTGCCTTGCATAAGAACGCTTAAATCAAAATTACTCAAGGCCGGGTGAAGAATCCACTGCAGGCGTGGGGGATTACAAGTAGTATAAACTGTTCCGGCGAAACATCCCTGAGTATATGGTAGGCTGCAAGCAGCTGTGTACGCTTAACTTTTGATGAATACTGTGAATGACCTGGATATTTCGCATTTTCGTCAGTGCCAAATATCCGGCGCAGGTTTCTCTTTTCTTCTCTCATTTACATGACTAAAATACGTTGTCGGGTCAAGAACTTAGAGTCTGTATTGCTCGGGTTACTCTCGCTAACTCCAAAAGTGCTTGGCCGTGTCTGCGATTATGTTAATTTTCGCGGCCTTTGACTACGCTAGCTCTTTCCATGTTGGGTTCAGCATTTTCTTTGTATTCATTTTACTTTCATCACGAACCGTATGCTGAGTCGCAACTCTGTCGGATTCGAATTAATCACTTTTTGTTGAATTACCCCCAGTGTAAAAGTCTGGTATGCTAACGTTGGTATCAAGTAGGTGACTTTACGCCATCTGCCCAATGCTCATTCATGGCTCTAAGAGTTCTGTCAATTCGTCTGGACTCGTAAGTTGTGCGCACAACTGTGCGAACACAGTGGTGCTTACATGTGTTCTTTGCTGCTGCTATTTTATGTTGCCTCGTCATCTGATGGCCTTTTTGCTCTGCATTTGTGCCTTTTGGCGCCCTGCTTCCCCTCTCTTCTGTGTGCCTGCTTTATGGAATGAAATGACTTCCTTGTCGTGTTCAGAGAAGTATCTCAATGTTGAAGGAGATAAATAAATCACACATTAACTTGAAGCTTGTCAGCAATGACTGCTAACGACCTCAAATCATCTTAGATATGATTTTGAAGCAATGTGGTTAAACTCAATGGCATTTTGTTGGCGTAGGTCGCAATCGGTGCGATGGGGATGGTTCCAATGTTTCCACAACGTGCTTACTTTCGTGCACTTTCCTTTGGTGGCATCTGCATTTGTGTACGCAGTAAAATGCTGCGGCGAACCACGTACGGTCATGTAACTTGCTTTGTTTACTCCCTTGTGAGTTCTCTTTACTCAGCAATTTTATTACCTCGGTTCAATGGTTGTGGTGGAATTCTTTAGCATAAAGACGCCTGGGCGATTCCTGCTTTGCAAAGTTGCGATTGATGCTTTTGGTTCACCTTGCTCACCGATGACTAGCTCATGCCGTGGAAAGGAACCATTAGGCCATTGGACTGTTTGTTCTTGCAAATCTTCTTTATTTTTCAGCAGTTGTTTTTCCCTCGTGTCGTGACAGTCATGTAACCTGATTTCACCACAATATCTAACAGTTGTTTGTCCTATAGGTTTTTAATTCGTGCTTTGTGTTGGAGTTAGAAATTGTTACTTTCTTTTCTTTTAACCATTATGAGTGGTTTTCGCGAAAATACTCTTAAAGGTAAACTAGTTCTTTTGTAATGTTCGTAAAGACGTTAACTTTTCTCGTCTAATGGATACTTTCTTTTGACCAGAAATGATAAATAAAGCAGTGCCCACCATCGTGACATTTTCACACTGATTCGTTAATGCGAAACGTAGTCATTGGGATCCTTTTTATCTAATGTCGTCTGTTCTACTTTGATGCGAGTTCAGTAACCGACCTGTTGTTGCAGAATACGTGGGGTTCTGTACTCCCGTGATCCGGATCCTATTGGATCCAACTGGATAGTATATAATTGAACACTTCAGAATGTGACGCTCCACTTATTGAACGTTGTAGGCAGGAGGTATCGTCAGTGTGTACGCGCCTGACAGGTGGGTACTGAGGCTGGGCTTATTACAGGTTGGCGTCCAGATGTTCACGCAAGTAATGGTAACTGTTTGACCCTAGACCTTGAGAACTTATCAGTGCTCTGCAACTCGATCAGGTGGGAACAGCTGAAAGTACATCTTTTGCAAATGCTTGGAAATCACTCATGCATCGGAATTTTCTGGGGAATTCAATTTTATAGTACTGGTCAGATAACTTCGTGACTGCTTCGTCAATTATTTCTTACCTCATATAGTCAGTTAGTAGTTTTATTCATATAAGGTTGAGTGATGGGCCGCCTCCAAGCTCAAATGGATTTCATAGCACTGAATACCATAGGGATCTCTTTCGAATCTATTTGGGCCCGAACGCCTAGGAATGTACATTTTTGTTTTCATGTACTGCCATGGTGGACTTCATGGCACTCTTATACGGCCAATTTCGAGCCCCCATTTTATGGTTCGATCGTTTCCATACCGGTTTGTTCCACTGTTCTTCTCGGATGTAGTCCACGAATTAGTGGTGAAAATTTATAGAGATTGGTTATAAAGTGAGAGGCAACAGTTTTTATTGTATATGCATAATTCTACATTCACAATAAATCTGTGCCGCTGAATGTGTTCTGGCTACAGTATTATGTGATTTAAACCAGATAAATTTTCACCTTTCCACTAAAATCCCAGCTTTAACTACTTGACTAGCCTTTGAAATATGATTTTGGACCCATTTAGTCACTGACTTCCTTTGAAACGATGGTACGGACAGAATGGAGATTGGTCAATCGAACCCATGCTCTAAGTTTGCTAGCAATGTCAAATGCATGGCCTGATTCTGCAATTAAGTGTAATTGCTTAACTCTTCCAGCAAT